TAGATTAAAACAATTTTCAAATTTTTAATTTTTGATTATTGTTTTCACTTCAATCTATTAATTAACATTATAGAATTTAACTTTTTATAATTAAGACTACTTGATTCACAAAGTTTGTGGGCACTGATTTATTAATTAATTACAATTAAGTACTAATTCTAATTAGCTCAGTTACGTTAGTTTTTTTTTGCTAAAAACTCTTAATGTCACCACTGAAAATAAGCAAAATTCAGAATCAAATTTAGAAAAATTAAATTACTTCTAAATTTTACACAATTTGTAATTAAATTTATAATTACAAAATTATTTCAATTTCGAATTCAATTTCTTCAAAAATATTGAAACTGTAAGTACGATTGCTATCAATTAATTACAATTAAGTTATTATTTAATTAAAAAAATTTCAAAAGCTGGAAAATTAGATTAGAACAATTTTCGAATATTTAATTTTTGATTATTGTTTTCACTTCAGTCTATTAATTAACATTATAGAATTTAACTTTTTATAATTAAGACTACTTGGATTCACAAAGTTTGTGGACACTGATTTATTAATTAATTACAATTAAGTACTAATTCTAATTCGCTCAGTTACGATAGTTTTTTTTTGCAATAAGCAAAAATAAGCAAAATTCAGAATCAAATTACACAATTTGTAATTACATTTATAATTACAAAAACATTTCAGTTTCGATTTCAATTTTTTTTTAATATTGAAACTACAAGTACGATTGCTAGCAATTAATTACAAATAAGTTATTATTTAATTAAAAATTTTACAAAAGCTGGAAAATTTCATTAAAACAATTTTCAAATTTTTAATTTTTGTAATTATTGTTTTCACTTCAGTCTATTAATTAACTTTATAAAGTTTAATTTTTTATATTTACGACTACTTAATTTACAAAGTTTGCAATAAAGGGTACTGATTTACAATTACGTACTAATTAAGTAGAAAAAAATTCTGATTAGCTTAGGTCAGGTTTGTTTCTTTTGGTAAATACTCTTAATGTCATTACAATCTGAAAAATTAAATTCTAATTAAGTTTAAATAGAAATTGTTTCAATAATTGGGAAAATTAATAATCAAAAATTGTTTTATTAATTACTTTACACGAACGGAAATGCTTGGTTTGTTGAGGTAAATAGAACCGAATTAAAATTCTTATGAAATAATTGCTAATTAGTAAATAAATTCGTATCTTATGCGTATGCATCGATTCTGAAATAAATTACAAAACTCGCCAAGATTACAAAATCTGCAAAATTATATAATTAGTGTAAAGAAAACTGTTCGGCCATACCGTCACTTTTCGCATCCATCAACAAATCCCTCGTTATCATGATTTTATCACACGATTCCACCTGTTTTTTTCTTACCTTTCTCACCACAAAAACATAAACATAGCGCGCGCGCAAATCCTTTTTCTCTTCTCGAACTGTTATGTTTATTGTGAACACCGCGTGTACGCGAAAGCTCCGAAGCTCCACTCACATCGTCCTTAAGGATAAACGTCGCGAAGAAGGCAAGAGCGCACTGTCTCCATTACGAAAAGAGAATTGTTAGTTATCAGTCGATGGAGGTGGGGGCAAATTATATGTGGGACAGTTTGATGGGTGGTGGTATGGCTATTACGAGACACAACCAATGTCATGGTCTGGACTGGACAGAGGGAAAAAGTCCCATCGCAAGAGAAGATAAATAATACGATTTTTTTTTATATTTCTACTACATAATAACAAAAGTACGCTAACGATAGTTTAATGTAATTGCAGGAAATTGTTCTAAATTTAAACATAATTTATCTTACCTTGTTGGCTATTTTTGTGATATCCTTAAAAAAACATCGTAAAGTGAAACAGGCCGTAAAGAAGTACTTTTCTGAACTCATATTAAAATTGACACAATTTTGATTGTATGTTCCCGGATTGGGTTTACAAGAGAAACATTTTTTTTATCTTTTATTTTACGCCAAAACTGCAAAGGAAAAACATTTTTTTCTTTACCTGAAACGAGCAAATCTTTATTATTCTGATTCAGTGAAAAAAAAGTTAATTTTTCTCTTGATTTTGGACTGTGTTTCAAAAAAAAGTTAAATACGGTTCTGGAATAATAATTTTTTTATACAGTCTGCGCCAGAACTCGTAAGATAACATACCAGGAACATGGAAAAAATGTTAAAAAAATTTTATTTATCAAAATTTCCAAGATATGAGGGTTTAAAGTTTGCACTTTGACTCTATTTATTTCTGTTGGAAAAATTATTTTCCAAGTTTTTTTGATACAGGTTATTAGAAGAGGAAACAAGGAAGCTGTAACTCTGTTCAATGTTATTTGTGGCTTTTATTGGCAAAATTTTTGTCTCTTTACTAAATAATTGTAAAAAAACATATACAAGATCATCAGTATCATTGAATAGATATAAAAAAAATGTCTAATGTCAAAAATAAATGTCAAAATTTTTTTACAGATAGAATTTTTTAAAACATTTTTTCATGTTCCTGGTATCTTACTTTACTTGAAAATTTTCTTTGGGACGCGAGTTCTGGCGCAGCCTGTATGTCACTTTGACAATTAATTTATTAATTAAATAATGATAGTTCTTGTTAAAAATAACTGTTTTTTATCTTAAAGCTGTTTCTTTGAGTTGCTATTTATCAAAATTATGTTTTTCACAAATATTTTTGTTATTTAACTTGCGAAAACTCATTTGTCAAAAAATAAAAAATTATTCTAAATTCAAAATCAAGAGAAAAATGGACTTTTCTTTCTACTGAGTTAGAATAATGAAATTTTAATTACAGATTTGCTGGTTTCAGGTAAAGCAAAAAATGTTTTTTTTTTGTAGTTTTGGCGTAAAATCAAAGATATTTTTTTTTCCTCTCGTAAACTCAATCCGGGGACATTCTATAGAATCATGGGCGTCGTTTGGGGGGGGGGGGGCAAGTTAATTAAATTTAAAATTTAATTAATTTGTACTTAAATCTTGAATTGAAATATTGAAAAAATATTGAAATGGAAAAAATTGAAACAAATTCCTTAATTTTCAAAATAAATGAGTTGTTAACAAATTAGTGAATTTGAGTTTGATCTTTTAATTTTTGCTATCTTTTTACACTTGGTTTTAGTGCTTTAATTAATTGTTTAATAATTTGTAATTTTTGTAAGAAGTGTTATTTTATTACACTTATATGGGCTATCGCCCATCTACGGCTATCGCCCCGTAGAATAAAAAAAATGACTTTACTTTTAAATTTAAAATGTGATTATAGTTAATTTATTCAAAATCAAATCAGAATCCAAATTTTGCTAAATATGATGAATTTTTGACCCAGTGAATTTGGGTTTGATCTTTTTTTACTAAATTTTTTGACACTTGGTTCTAGCGATGTCATTATTTTTTTAATTATTTGTAATTAATAAGTTAATTACAGATTGTTCAAAAATTACGCATATTTTAAAACAGGACGTGCCTTAAAACAACCAAATAGTGTAATTGATTTAACTAAATTAATTAATTAATAACAAAAATACACCAATGATAGTTTAACAGATACAATTGTAGGAAATTATTTTTAATTAAAGCATAATTTATCTTATAAATTGTCCTAAAGTGAACGAAATAGGCCGTAAAAAAGTACTCTTACACTTATATACTACTCTTGTAAAAAATTAAGAATTCTCGATTTTAGTTTTAATTTTTTGAGGTTTAGCCCCGCAATTCAAAACTAATTTCTAACATAGTTTTAGTTTTGAAATATCAAGTATGCTTCGAAAATTTTCAAAAAACTTATTATTAAGAACTGTTCAGAATCAACATCTAGGCCCAAATTTCAAAATCATCGGCCAACTATGATTTTTATTTTTTTATGTTTACTTTACAAATCAGAGAATTTTATTCTTAACAGTTCTTTTATTATGAACAAAACAATTCACACTTAGATTATTATATCCTACTAAATAACTTTTTAACGTGGTTGTTACTAAAAAGCAACTATCTTGGAAAAGAAATGAAAAATCATAGTTGGCCTATGATTTGGAAATTGGTGTAGGGGCCTATTTAATTTAATTTAATTAAAAGAAAACAGGTTTCCAAGGCGTATTTGATTTTTTATAGCTAAAATTATGTTAGAAATTATTTATCAAGCTCTCAAAAAATTGAAATTTAAAGCGAATTTTTTTTTATCTTTTACAAGAGTCGTTTCACCTATTCGGGGACACACTGTATCGACCATCGCCTCGTAGAATGAAAAATTTATTTTAACTTTTAAATTTAAAATGTAATTATTATTAATTAATTCAAAATTAAATCGGAAACCGAATTTTACCAAATATTTGATGAATTGTTATTTGAGTTTGATCTTTTTACTCAATTTTTTCACACTTGGTTTTAGTGCTTTAATTAATTTTTTAATTATTTGTAATTAGTAAGTTAATTACAGATTGTTCAAAAATCACGCATATTTCAAAACCTGACCTATCTTAAAACAAAACCAAATAGTTTAATTGAATTAATTAAATTAATTAATTGATAACAAAAATACACCAATGATAGTTTAACAGACGCAATTGCAGGAAATTGTCCTTAATTGGAGCATAATAATTTTTCTTATAAATCGTCTTAAAGTGAACGAAATAGGCTGTAAAAAAGTACTTTTACACTCATATACAGTGTGTCTCTGGATAGGTGAAACTACTAATTTTTAATTTAAATTTTTATTTTTTGACGTTTAGCCTTGCTCGATTCAAAGCTAATTTCTAACATAATTTTAGTTTTGAAAAAACAAGTATGCTCTGGAAATTTTCAAAAAACCTATTTTTCTATAGAGTAAAGTACTTTTTATGTGGCAAATACGACAAAAGTTATTAGGAAAAATTGTTCAAAATCAATATCTAGGCCTGCATACCAAATTTCAAAATCATCGGCTAATTAAAAATAGTTTTTTTGGAAATTCACAAGGCATATTTGATTTTTTATAGCTAAAATTATGTTAGAAATTATTTAAGCAAACCCTTAAAAAATTAAAATTTAAAGCGATTTTTTTATTTTTTGCAAGAATCGTTTCACCTATCTGGGGACTATAACCTCGTAGAATGAAAAATATATCTCAATTTTTAAATTTAAAATGCATTTGTTATTATGATTTGGTCATTTTTCTCAATTTTTTCACACTTGGTTCTAGTGCTTTAATTAATTTTTGAATTATTTGTAATTAAAAAATAAAAATCACGTATATGTCAAAGCCACACGTGCCCCAAAACCAAACAGTGTGATTGAACGAAATCCACGTTACGCACCCGATTTGTGCACCATAGAAAGGTGACGGTCAAGGTGTGCTAACGAAGCATTCCTAATCAGCGTTTATTTTTCGATGAAAAGAATGATATAATAATATTTGGAAAAAAGTGAAAGAAATTATCGAATCATTTAATACAAATACAGATTATGCAAAAGTCTACACGTGTTATTTTATTAGATGACTTCCTTTCCGAATTTTTCCACACTGTTAACATGAGTGAATTTGCTCCAAATGCGGAATTTTTGGCGGAAATGCGTGACGCAAAAACACGACAATTAGAGGTTTTTTTTGTGAGGAATCTTCACAAAATGACAATTTAAGTAGGGAAAAAATTTCAATTTACTTACATGGATTTGTCAAAATTTTCGCTTGCTTCACGCACTTGCCCAACTGTGTTAAAAAATTTGTGCAAAATGGGAGGAGAAAACAACTTTTTTTCTTTTTGCGTCACTTGAACAATTAAAGATTTTTGACAATTTTTTCCTGATTATTTTTTTATAATCTGGTTTAATTACTTTCTGAAAAAAACAAGTGTCGCTTTCATTGTGTTTGCGTATTAGTCGGTAATTATGGTGTTATTTACGATGACGGTCTTGTAGATTGACATTTCTGCGTTTGTTTGATTGGAAAAGTATTACTGAAAAATTTCCACGTCAGAAACCGCGTCCATGGCCCTTGTACCTTCCCGGAATGAATTATGCGCTATGTATTTTTACTTATTTATTGCTTTGTGGCCTCATTATTGCACTTGTGGCATTGGAAACAATCACTAGTTTGAATTACGCGCCAAAATTTAGTGTTTTTTTTTTTCAAATAAAGTCATAAAACTCTTAGGAACTTGGAGACAAGGTTGCAGGAGTCGTAAAATTTTTACAAAAAATGTCAATGACGTGAAATACAGCGAAAAAGACATAAAAAACACGAAGAAGAAGAAAAAATGACAAGAGTAGTTAAAGAGTCAACAAATTTCAATTGTGATAAGCTCATTGTTTACCATAAAAACAGTACAAAAACCTTTCACTGTTTATCACGAAATCACACTTTGTTTATCCTTCTTTGTTGACAATGTTTTCTCTTTGGATATTTTTAAAACAAACTGATTAAATAATTGCAACTACTTTCGAATTTGCGTGCGCTTTTATTAAACTTTTATTAATCGAAACAATAAATAACATGCTTTGTTTAGAACTGTCTAATTTTTCAATTCTCACAAACTGAATTACATAATTTGTTGTAATTTTACTTAATACTTAATAAATATCAAGCAAAATTTCGTTTTGGTCTGATTATTAATAATTTTACTGGTACTAAAAATGTTAATTTTTAATAATTCAAACTAAGCTACAAAATCAATAAAAACATTTCTAATCTAAAAAATTCGAAATAATTATCGCAAGCAAAACTGCACCTAAGTTAAATTAATTACGAGTATAAAGGCATAAGAAACAAAACAATTCAATTAGTTAATTAAAAACTGTTCATTTTACTTAACTGAAAAGCGAATTTTTCGCTCACATAACAAAAATGTACATTGTTTAATTTTGACGATTTTGTGAATTTTCATTTTTTTCCATTACCAAGGTTAGAAACATTAGAAAATCAACAAAACTTTGAAAAATCCCAAGTAAATACAATAAAATTTAATGACAGGACGTTCACAATCCATTCTCTTTATACTTAAATGAAAAATACAAAACCATGTTACTAAGTCAGGATTTTCCCTGATTTCTTCAAATATTTATCCGTCACAGTGCACTCATTTCCTGCGTCCTATAATTAATCGTCGAATCTAGAAGGCCAAATTAATTACAATTAAATCAGATTAATTACATTTTTTCATTCGAATCAAACGTATCATTTATAATTAGCAAAAGATACATATGGGATTTTATTTACCCTAAAGCAATGAATTAAAAAAAATCGCATAAATTAAGATGGTCAACTAAATGAGGCGTTACCGCTTTAATTTTTTAGGTTATGACGCATTTATAGAGAGATTACAATTTATAATCAAAGTGACCTATGATTATAAAATTAAGTTGGCGACATTGACTCTCACACAAACGTCACATTTTTTTACCAAATGATGGAGTTACCAACTGAATTTCAAAGTCACTTTGATCAAAACTTTTTTAATGTATAATGTTTTAATTAGTTTCGGTTGACAAATTCGGTCTTCTTCAGGATTAATTAAGAGCACAAACAAAAAATTTAATTATTTAGGTTTGTTTGCATTGTAGTGTTAGTCATTTAATTGCTCCAATTAATGGAGATTAATTAATATTCAATTCTGACTAATTGTTTTACTTGGTAATAATTTTTCTGTAATAGAAATTTTTACAAACAATTCCAATTAAATATTTACTAGAAATTAAGTACTCTATCATCCGTAATTTATAGTAAATATGACAAATCCGGTTAAATAGCTGACGTAAGAACTAAAAATCGAATTGACATTTTTTTGGACAGAAAATTACTAAGTGACAAACACATGACTTGTACAAAAAAAATATTGCAAAAATTTATTTATAGCTTTAATTGTTATGGAAAAACCATAAGTGCGTTGCATTAAAATTTTTTGTAAACAACAATAAAATGGATGCGTGAATTGGTTAATTAGATGCTAATAGGTTTGCAAGAAATTATTATTTGTAAAATTGTGACGCCAAACAATTTTTTATTGAACCGTCAAAATATTGACGTGATAGACTGAAAAGCTTTTAAAAGTAAACAAGAATCACAATAAAAAGCAAAACTGAGTAAAACAACCTACGAGGTTAAGTAATTACTAATTAATTATAAAAACTTACTATTTCCAATTGATTTTTATCTCATTTCTGAAATTACTAATAATTTTAATTAGTTTTACCCAATTAGTCACAAATCGAAATAATTAATTATAATTAAGAGGACTTTCGTCAAATACATTTTTCAGATTGAAAATAAGACAAATTTTCCGTTGATACGATAATCATATACAAATATTAGTTAATTTAATTCAATTAAATTAAAATTATCTCAGTTTTGATTTGCAGTGTTACAATTTAATTTTTAATTGAATTACTGAATTTGATTAGCTTTTTATCTTAATTTAGGGCAAAATTCTGTTAATTAATCATAATTAAGACGACTTACCGCTTGCATCGTTCAAATTGAAAACAAAACAAATGAATGTCAGTTTTCCATTGATAAGATAATCAAACAAATATTCAAATACGTAGAACTTTAAAGAAGAGATAATTGGTACAACTGCGTGAAAAGTATCAAAATTTCGATTCAAAAATTTTAATTTTTTAAGTTGGCTCACTTGAAAAAATCTGTAAAAGTGCTTGTCATTTACTACCTGTGATCAAGGTTACCAAAACTCATCAATATTGACAATAATAATTTATTTTTATTACAAAATTACAACAATACAATGCAATAAAAAATATACAGGACGATTCAAAAAAACATGTAATTTAGTGCCAACAAAACACCACATGACACACAGTTAAATAAACAGTGATGACCGCCATACTTGTGATCGTGACAGGGAGGCCAAGTCTAGAAAACAAAAATTACCAAAAAATTTTTTTGAAAAACTAAGTTACTTAGTAAATTCGAGAAAAGTGAATCTGTAGCCGTGCTGTTCGGCCACTCCGGCGCACACAATATTTGACGATGATCCAAACAAGCTGCCATTTCCTGCAACCAAATTAATAACGAAAAAAACCCTAGAAAATTTGACAATACCTCCAAGACACGCCCCAAAAGCTAGGGCCCAAATCAGGGGTTGCAACGGTAGGTTGAGTTCGGGATCGTCGGCCAAGTTCGTGGCAATTCGGATCATCATTGTCGTCAGGGGGAGATTGTCGACGAAAGCCGAGGCAATCCCCGAAACCCACAAAATGAGAATGATCGCAACTGTCAAACGGGAATCTTGATCAACTGACATGATCACACTTTGGGTTTGTTTGCCCACCCAATCGATCAAACCCAACCTAGACAAGGCCTAAAACATCTTGATCAGAATTTTGATTCAACCCTAGCACTAGTACCTCCATTAGGATGAACAACGAAGCGAAAAATAGTAGTGTTGACCACTCGACGCGTCCCAAAATCCCCTCAATGTCCTCCTTGTCGTACAAGAGTAGCAATAGTAGGGCACCGAGCAATGCCGTCCAGCCTAGTCCTAGTATACCTACCACACCCTAATACTAGTACTAGTATTATCACATTTATACTTACTCATTGCCGGAATTGAGTGTAGGAAAAAGACACAAATGACCAAACTCAAGGTAATACCGGATTTGATCAATAAAGCTTTATTTCTGATCGGGTACTAGAATTGATGGGGTTCAAATCTGGTCAAATTGGTGGTGTGGTCTCACCTGGCGTTCCAGATTTTTCAAGTTGGTGGTGTAATTTTCAATGGTGGGACTTGTGTTAGTGGCGGTTAATTTGAGTTTGCCCAAAAGGGTTGTACTTCGACGAAGAAGGGATTCTTTAACGGTGTCTTCGTCTTTGCTATAGCTGCTTAAAGAGGCCGCTGCGCGCTTCCAAACGCCTATTTCGTGGCGGAGTTCTGGGAAAATTGCATTTTTTTTTGACTAAATTTGGAATGTGGATAATGATCCTCATACGGGATGAATAAAAATTTACTAGTAGTTTAGCGAAAATGAGAAAAATCGGTCAGTTTTGGACTAAATACAGATTTTTCTAGAATTTCAAAAAAATGCCAAAACGTGATCAAAATCCCTACAAAATTGCTACAGTCTCTAACTGAGTATGGAGGTTATGTTTTTTACTATGTATTTTGTCTCATTATAAAAAAAAATCAATTTTTATAATCCTAACATGTAAGAAGATTATTTTTTATTTCAAAAAGTGAGAATAGAATTTTTATATACAGGGTTCTTCAAATTAAAGGTCAACTGTGCAAAAAAAATCAAAGAACTCCATGTTTTGGAAAATTTTTAAAAAAATAGATTTTTTTAAAGAGGTAGGTAACTCAAATTATAGACACATGCAAAAATTACTACCAAAATGATCAAAAAATGTATAGTTTCTAGTCTGATTAGAGATTTTTTTTTGTAATTCAACACAATTAGAAATAATATAGTGGAAATTTATAAATTTTAACACAGTGTTAATACAAAAAACTCAAAATTTGAAATACAAAAAGTTTGTCAGAGGGTGCGAATTATGTTCATTATATCGGGTGTTCCATAAAATTTCAAAAAAATTCTAAAAAATGATCAAAATCCTTACAAAATTGCCAAAGTCACTAATTGAGTATGGAGGTTATGTTTTTTTACTATGTATTTTTATTTCAAAAATTGGAGAATAGATTTTTTATATACAGGATTGTTCAAATTATAGGCCAACCATGTTTTGTCTAATTTTTGAAAAAGTGTTCCATAAAATTTCAAAAAATTTTTTTAAAGATTATCAAAATTCCTACAAAATTGATAAAAAACTAAGTATG